GCCTGCTTGGGCTAGTTCTACGGCTTGTTGTAGCTTAACTGCGATCTCTGCTGCCTTCTGCTCATCTGAAAGCTGTTCGGCTGGTTTCCGCTATTGCCTTTTATTGTCTAGCTCTAGCTACAGTGGCTCCACTTCGTGCCCATGCTGTAAGAAGAACGGTGACATTCTAGTTGACGTTGCGTTTCTACCATTGATCGCGATCTGGGCCATTAGGCAGAGCTGTGCCCAGTCATTCTGAGCCTAGTTCGTGAACGTTCGGATGTAGGTCTCCCAGACGCTGTTCATCCTTTCTGTTGCACCGTCCGTCTGTGGGTGGTAGGCTGTCGACAGTCTCCGTTTGATCTTCAGAAGCTCGCATAGTCTTGTCCATAGTGCACTCACAAACTGGCTGCCTCTATCAGAGGTAATAGCGTCTAGTAGCCAGTGATATGCGACTACACGTTCGATGAACTTTCGAACGACAGTTTCTGTCTTTGTATCTAGGAGCGGTACGAAAATCGCACCCTTACTAAGCCGATCAGTGATTACCATCAAGCTAGTCATGCCCTCACTCTCTGGTAGCCCTTCGACGAAATCCATGGAGATCTCCTTCTAGATCCGGGTGGGTATCGGCAGTGGTTTTAGAAGGCCTTGCGTGCCCTCTCTCCAGGACTTGCTCCGTCCACAAGCGTCGCAGTTTCTAACATATCTCTAGATCGAGTTGGTCATGCCTGGCTAGAAGTAGTCCCTTGCGAGTATCTTGTACGTTAGCTCGCGTCCTGGGTGGCCAGTGACTAATAAGTCGTGTGCGCCGCTGATGATTGCCGTTCGCAATTCGTCGTTGTCTAGCACCCACTTGCGCCCTCGGTAAAACAGGACTCCGCCGTCCGCTAAGCAGTCTTCGATTGAGCACTTTAGGCCTAAGTTCGCAGGGAAACGTCGTTCTTGGTCCTCTACGGCCTTCTTCGCTCCCTGGTAGACCTAATCCTTCGCTGTCGCTTCTTGCTAGAGCTTCTCTAACTCGTTCTGCTCCAACGCTTCTTCGTCTAGTTCTCTAGGAGGTAGTTGGCCTAGTTCTTCTTTAGCTAGGGCAACAGCCTCTTCTTCCCGCTGTTAGCTTCGTGTTTTCGTGGCCATTACTAAAATAGCTTCTTCTAGTTCCTCTTCTGGTTCTTCTTCTGCTATCTCTTGATAGGAGTTTATTGGCTTAAATATTTGCACGAAACGCTTCTGCAAGCGCTCGTCTTCTACCCCTACAGGCAGGTCTTGTTCTCTTCTCAAGAGCGCGTCGGCTCTCACATTCTGCTTGCCTGGCTGATACAGCAGCTCTAGGTTGTACCTACCAAGTAGAAGCGACCATCTCACCTGGCGCTCGTTTAGCATGCGAGGTTTTATAAAGTACTCTAAGTTCTTGTGATCTATAATCACCTTGAACTTCTTAACTAAACGCAGCTTAGAATCCTATTCCTTAAGGCATCGTACTACCGCGAGCAACTTCTTGTTGTGGATCTTGTAGTTGCACTCGTGCGCGCTATTCTTCTGCGAGAAGAACGCGCAAGGCCGTAAGACTCTATCATCGTCGTACTGTGATAGCACCCCGCCCACCGCGTAGCCGCTCGAATCGCACTCGAGCACTGTCTCCCGATCTGGGTCGAACGCCGCTAGCGTGGGCTCTGTAACGAAGATCTCCTTTAGCTTCTCAAAGGCTGACTGCTCTTCAGATCCCCATCAGAAGGGGACGTCACCTATAAGCCTAGTAAGGGGTGCGGCTAGCTGCGCAAAGTTCTTAATGAACCTTCAGTAGAAGTTCGCGAACCCTAGGAACGATCTTACTCCCTTTACTGTCTTCAGTGCCTCCCACTCGCGGATTGCGGCTACCTTAGCTAGATCCATGCTTATCCCTTTACCTGCTTCAATAATAAACCTAAGGTACTTAGTTGTCTTAACTTCAAACTCGCACTTCTTAATGTCCACCTATAGCCCTGCGGCTTGCAGCTTGCTAAGCACTTTTCAGACGTGCTCTTGGTGCTAGCACAGATCGCCATCGGTGTAGATTAGTACGTCGTCCAGGTATGCTAAGCAGAAGTCATCTAGGTGTTCTCTTAAGGTCTAGTTAATGTATCGTTGAAAAGTACTTAGGGAGTTTGCTATGCCAAAGGGGGTAACTAGCCACTCAAACAGTCTGAATCTTGTTTAGAAGGCTGTCTTCCACTCATCGCCTAGTGCGACATGGATCTTGTAGAAGGCTGCGATAACGTCTAACTTTGTAAACCATTTAGCCTTGCTTAAGCCGTTAAGTGTCTCTTAGATGAGAGGTAGCGGGTACCAGTCCTTCTTAGTAATTGCGTTTAGAGCTCGATAATCGATGCACAGTCGGAGCCCTCCTCTAGGTTTCTTGGCGAATAATACTAGCGCTGCGGCTGGCGAGCTGCTTACGCGGATGAATCCCTTCTCAAGAAGCGATATAAGTTCCTTTCTAAGGACTAGGAGCTCTCCGCGCGACATGCTATAGAGGGGTCCCTATAGTGGCTAAGCATCCTTTGGCTCTAGCTCGATCTTGTGGTCCACCCCTGGCCCTCAGTGCGGTGGAAGCTTCTCTGCTTGCTTCGGGTTGAAGAGCTCATAGAACTCCTGGTACTGTGTTGGTAGCAGTGCTCGTACATCTACGGGCTTCTTCGGTTGTAGCGCCTTGTCGATGTCTGCAATCAACGCAGCGAAGATCTAAACGCTATTTAGAGCGTTCTTATGCCTACGAACTAAGGCCGCAAACGCTACGGCGTTAACTTGGCTAACTCCTCCTCGTAGGCGTCCTTTAGTCGACCTCACTTAAATGCCCTTTAAGTGGATAAAAATACTCTTCTTAGCAGGAGATACTGATACGTCTTGGTGGTCCATCCATCCCCTGCCAAAGTACACGTTCTCACTAGAGGATAAGTCCATCACGTATGCATAAGCAGTCTCTTCGTACCCATGCATCTTAAACGAGAATCAGGCAACCTCGCTAATCTCTAACAGCTTGCCGTTCACTCCCTCAATCATCCAAGAGGGGATCTAAAAGCGCTCTAGACAGTGGCGGTAAGCGAATCTCTTGCTAATTAGTGCATAGCATAGGCATCCACAGTCTATAAGCGCGACAGCGTTTGCTACGTTGTTCACGATAAGATCTACAGTAATTGGTGGGGGACGCATATGCTTCTGCTGAAACTGATTCCATTCGCTACGTATCTGCCGATCCATCTTCAGAGGCTCTGGGCCAAGACTCTGGCCCAGAGCTACTCTTTTTCCGAGTCGCTACTCGGCACCTGATCGACTTCCTCCTGCGGCTTATGTCTAACGTTGCTTGGCGCGGGCCTTGCCTTCTTGACCTGGGTGGCGTTTTGACAGTATTTCGCGATATGACCTAGCTCTCCGCAGCGATAGCAGTCGGGCGGAGGTCGTCGTGGCTTGCCTCTAGCTTCTCGCGCCTGATTAACCTTCGAAGGCTCCCAGTCCATAACGTCCAGACTAGCTTCGTGTTGAGCGGTTGTCGTAGTAGGGCGATCTACCACCCAGGAGCTCGTTGCGCGCAGTTTAACGAGACCTACCCGGTAGAGGTTGTCGGACGTTCTTACTGCCTTATTGACTAGCTGCTCGTACGATAGATTCTCATCAATCGTAGCAAGAGCCTCCTGCAGCTTAGTGTGAAGGCCCTTTAAGAACATACTCTTCTTAGCTGCTTCGCCGAA